GTGTGTGTGTGTGTGACAAGAACATTTTTGTTGGAGTTGTGAGGGTGAAAGCCTAATTGAAATGGGTTCAAGAGAGACCAGGACTCTGAAAGACAAAAACCCACTGATTTTCTTTCTTTCTTTCTTTCGTTCGTTCTTTTTAAGTTTTTTTTGCCATTGGGTATGGGTTCTAGCTGGAGAGAGACAGAGGGAAAGTGAGAAATCACCTTCTCAAGGGGATGGACATGCTGTAATCCATTCTCTTCCATTCTCCTCTCAGGATTTTGGCCATGCACACACACGTGCCCCATGTGATTTTCAAGCTGCTGGGTCTGGGACTAGAACTATGGTTGGCTTTAACCACCATGCCACCTGCTGGCCCCTTAAATTCTCACTTTTTTAGAGAGATTTTTTTGCTTTAGGATTTGTGTGCTCCCCAGAGAGAGAGAGAGAGATAGAGAGAGAGAGAGAGATAAAGAAAGCAAGAAGTCACCCCCCTACACCCACCCAGGGAGGATGGCCATACTGCAATCCCTTCTCCTCCACTCTCCTCTCAGGATTTTGGGCACACACACACTCATGTCTGCATGAGTATCAAATCACTGGGTCTGGGATTCAAGCCACGGTTGGTCATGTGGAAGTCCACACCACCTGCTGGCCCCCAAATTTTCATTTTTAATTGCAAGAGATAAAAAAGACAGAAACCTGCAGATTAAAAAGAGCTTTATATATACAACTAGGAAAGTTTTCTCCAAAGAGCATAGTGTATATGCACATTTAACTTTACAAGATAATGCTAAGTTGTTTTCCAAGAAGACTGTACCAATTTACATATTCATAATAGTATATAAGAATTTCAGGTATAATATGAGGGAGGGTAAGCATAAATACCAGAGACTATATAGAAGGGAGTAGGTAATGGGGGGAAAGGGAGAGGATTGAAAAAAAAAAAAAAACATTTGACAGACACAAAAATGGAAAGTTATCTGTTGACGATGACTTATATGGTAATATCTTTGACTTGATTGACATGTACTGTATGCATGCTGGGAAAAGCCATGTTGCAAGTTGTAAAGATGTACAATGGTTGGGACCAGCAGATGGCATAATGGCTATGTCACTGGACTCCCATGTAGTCGACCGCAGTTCTAGTCCCGGACCTGGTGGCTTAAACTCACAGCAGGCATATATGCGTGTGTGCCCAATATCCCGAGAAGAGAATGGAGGAGAAGGGATTGTGGCATGGCCATCCCTCCTGGGAGGTGACTTCTTGCTTTCTATCTCTCTGCCTCTCTCTGTCTTTCTGGTGAGTGCACGTGCCCAAAGCTCCAAAAAAAAAAAAAAAAATATGTACAATGGTTAATGTAAATAAATAAATAAATTTTTCAGTCATTTGACATCCTCACCAACACTTGATGTTTCAGGCTTTTATGTTTGCTACGTTGTGGGTATCAAATTATAGTTGCTGATTTTAATTAGAATTCTCCTATTGCAAATGAGGTTTCCAATCTTTTTGGGTTTTTTGCCCATCTTTGTTTACTTCTCTGTGAAGTGCCCATTGACGTAGTTTGTTCATTTTTATTAAAAAAAATCAAGCTGTTTGTTTCCATTTCTTATTAATTTTAGAAGTTCCATATACATTCTACACACTAATCATTTCATAGTTTAAATGTGGCAAACGTCATCTCTAAATTCGTGACTTGTGTTTTCACTTATTAGTATGGAATAATTTAAACGTAACAATTGATACATACGATGGAATCTTGTTAACATGCATGTAAATTATGAAGCACAATAACAAAATGAACACCTATGAACCTCAGAACTTCCAGAATTCAGAAAATAGAACATTATCAATATTTTGGAAATTTTCTGTATGCACTTATTCATCTTTTCACTCCTTTTATGGTGAATTCAGATGAATTTGAATGTAGTTAGATTTATCTATCTTTTCCTTTGGCCTTGGTCATTTTTATTATTTAAGAATTCCTTTTCTATCCTGAGTTCATAAAGATATTCTCCTATATATTAGAATTCAGAAAATAGAACATTATCAATATTTTGGAAATTTTCTGTATGCACTTATTCATCTTTTCACTCCTTTTATGGTGAATTCAGATGAATTTGAATGTAGTTAGATTTATCTATCTTTTCCTTTGGCCTTGGTCATTTTTATTATTTAAGAAATCCTTTTCTATCCTGAGTTCATAAAGATATTCTCCTATATATTCTTCTAAAATCTCTAATGTTTTTTCTTTCTCGTTTTTTTGTACTAGAGGGCAGGCATGGGAGAGAGAGAAAAAGAGCACGTAGGTGCACATTCTCCCCTTTCCCAATGGAGCCAGGTCATACTACAATCCTTTTTCTTCTAATTCTCCATCCCACCAGGATCCTGGGCATGCAAGCACCTGGCATGAAGATGATAGGATGAGATTTGAAATCTGGTTGGCCTTGTGGACCTGGCTTCCTCTGTTCAGTGCCTAACTGCTGCACTGCTGAGTGAGCCCTCATTTAAGTTTTGTTTTTCTTGATATATATATATATCTTTTTTTTTTTTGTTTTTTTTTTCGCTATAGGGCACGTGCGCTCGCCAGACAGACAGAGAGAGACATAGAGACAGAAAGCGAGAAATCACCCCCCAGCAGGGATGGTCACGCCGTAATCCCTTCTCCTCCATTCTCTTCTCGGGATCTTGGGCATGCATGCACACGTGCCCGGCGTGAGTTTTAAGCCACCGGGTCCAGGATGCGAACCACAGTCGACTACATGGGAGTCCAGCAACATAGCCATCACACTAACTGCTGGTTCCCTCATTTAAGTTTTTAAATCCTCTGGCATTGCATTTTGTAAATGGTATGAGATAGGGATCCAATAAAATATTTTACCCTAGTTCCATCTCATCTTTTATTTTTAAAGTTATTAAGAAGAATTATTTAATTTTATGTATCACTATCATCGTTCTTCAATTTGTTACAAGGCATGCATGCCCACCAGAAAGAGACAGAGAGAGAGGGAAAGTGATAAAGTAAGCTGTCAGTTTTGGGACTTGAACTGTGGCTGGCCCTGCAGTCCAGTGTCTTGACCACCATGTCACCAGCTGGGCCCCCCTCATCTCATCTTTTAAAATAGAACAATATTTCCTTGTGAATTATATGAGACTGCTATCCTTTGGTTATTGTAACCCCTTGGTCTGATCCTGTTTCTCCCAACTGAACTTCATTTATGGCCCCCCTATTAGATTCCAACAATCAAGTTTTCCTACTTTCCTGGACTTGCCCTAAGTCTTTAGGGCTCTTCCCAGTCTTCAGGCATCACTTTAAAAATAGTTAAAAGAATGACTATAGAGGGACAAGCAGTTGGTGTAATAGCTATGTCGCTGAACTCCCATGTAGTTGACCACGGTTTGAGTCCCAGACTTAGTGGCTTAAACTCATGCCAGGTGCATGTGCGTGTGTGCCCAAGATCCTGAGAGGAGAATGGAGGAGAAGGGATTGAGGTGTGGCCATCTCCCTGGAAGTGGAACATTGAAAATAATAATAATAATAAATAAAATAAAAAAATTCTTAAAAAAAACAGAATGACTATGGTAACCTCAAGATCTTTTCCATGTTTAATTCTGAGAATGGCACCAACTCCAAACTACTGGTTCTCTCTGTCACTAAATCACTGAAGGGGAAGATTCAGCAGGCATTTTAAACTTCTTGCACTGCTAAGGCCATGGACTTAGTAATGAGCAGATAAGGTGATAGTAGGGAGATGAGGGGATGAAGGGAGAGATAAAAATGGTGTGACCAGCAGATGGCATAATGGTTAGGTCACTGGACTCCCATGTGGACCACCACGGTTTGAGTCTCAGACCGGTGACTTCAAACTTAGCCAGGTGCATGTGCATGGGTGTCTAAAATCTCGAGAGGAGAATGGAGGAGAAGGGATTGGTACGGCCTGGCCAACCTCCTTGGAGGGAGATTTCTCATGTTCTGTCTCTGTCTCTCTGGTGAGCAAATAGCCCTATAGCAAAAATCTCTCTAAAAATGGTGGGCAACAGAGTGGAGAGATATTGGGGCATAGAATAGGAAGAGAAATGAGGACAAGTAGTGGGTGAGGAGGTGGAGGACAGAGAGCAGAGAAGGAAGAGGAATGGGAGAAAGAAATAAAAGGTGGTAGAAGGTTATGGAGCAGTGGGAATGGGATGGGGAGAGGCATGAAAGCAGAGATAGGGGAGAGGGAAGGATCGAGATCAAGAGCATTGGTTTGAGGACATTGACTCCTGGTGGCTCACATGAAATACCTTTCTTAGTAAAGAACTCCGATATTGAAGCTTCTTGGTTGGATCCAGGTCCAAGTTTGCTCTTGGGTTACAACGGCACTCTGTGAACTCTGCTTGGAGAAACAGGAGGTGGGTAGAGGATGGGGCAGTGTTTCAGTCTTCCCCAGCCTGTTTCCCAGTCGCCCGGAAGTAGTCCTAGCGCCCTTCCCATCCCATCCAGCCTCCAGTCCCACTCTACCGTCAGCAAAGTCTGAGCTCGCCTAACAATGAATCTTCTCTGTTGCCCCTGCTTTCCCGTCCAGCCCTTAGCTCCCCCAGATCCTTCCAGTTCCTGATCTTGTCCTTGTCTGAGCCTTCAGTTCACTTCAGTCCAGCCAGACTAAAGCCACAGCTGAACTCCCACCTTCTGGCCCCGGGGGAGGGGGGCATACTCTGCTGTAACTTCTCACTCTCAGCAAGCGTGGGTCCCTCCTGCTTTCTTGGATCACAAAAAGCAGCTCCGTGTCCTCTAGGCACTAACTCTACAACTTGGTCTGCAGTAGCAGTGGTTTATTGTTGCCACGCAACAAAAAGGGGCGGGGCCCAAATGTCTACAGTAAGCTCGCTCCCTGACAACAGATCAACAAATCTCTACGACAGACCAAAGTCCCCGCCCCAGGTCCCCCTCGCGCCGGAAGTCAGAAATCCCGTTTGACCTGGACTTTTTCTCGCGATGCTTGCTGTCTGCCCAGCCTGCACTGCGACGTTTCCCGCGCGGGCTAACCTCAGTTCCCAGGCTTAAGGCGCGGCCTCTGGTTCCGCCGCCTGCGCCGCTACCGTCATGGGTTTCCTGAAGTTGATTGAGATCGAGAACTTTAAGTCGTACAAGGGTCGACAGATTATCGGACCATTTCAGAGGTTCACCGCCATCATCGGACCCAATGGCTCCGGTAAGATAAACCTGGCTGCGGCTCTGCGCACGTCCCGACCCGCCCCCCCCCAGCCGCTGTCAAAGTAGTATAACCCAGCTCATGCAACCTGAAACCTTGCGAACCTTAACGGGTTCCTTGTCCCTCCTGCTGGAGTTCGGCTCTGGCCACATCTCCCCGCTGTGCTGCTCTGCCTGGAACCTTTTTCCCAGGTGTCAGTTGCCTGCGGGGCCCCTGCTTCAGCCAGCCGGAGTGGTACAGGCCAAACTCTACGTTACCCCACCCTCTTCCCCTCCCGCCAAAACAGGCGAGTCCGGATTCCCGCTGCCAGCTGCCGCCAATGCTCGGCCCAGATCTGGCTTCCCTTCCTTGTTTGACCCCTACGGAAAATGTGGGACAGCTAGTAGCCCTCTGGTAGAAGTCTCCAGTCCCAAACTGCACTTCTGCTTCAGCGCAGCGCCCCCTCTGGCCTCGCATTGGTACACCCCAGTTCTTTCCTTTAGACTCTTCTACTGATGAGGCACTTTTGAATTTTGGACCCTGCGCTTGAGACGCCCCCGCCACTCCCTCCAGAGGCAGTGGCCTAGAACTCATTCCTTTCCTTCTATGGAAACCAGAATGTATTTGCTTACTAAATTCGTTGGATGCTTTACTGTTTATCATCAGTTGTTCAAGTTGTGCAAACAGTGGAGAATAGACTAAATCAAGTCCATGCTCATACGGAACTTATATTCTAGAGGGGAAAGAAGATAAAGAAATAGAAATATAATTTTAGGTTGTCATAAATGCCATGCCAGAGATGAGACAGGTTGATGTGATAAAAAGTGTTGTCTTTGGAAAGGGGGTTCGGCAGCCACGCCGCGGTGGCCCTCGCTCAGACTGGGACCACATGAGAGGCCTGGATTTGATTCCCCGTCCAACCTAAAGGCTGGGTATGGTGGCTCGTTGTTCTTGCTACTTTGGAGACTGAGGAGACTGAGGCAGAAGAATCTGGATCTCCAGGCTGGCCTAGGCAACATAGCCAGACTCTCTAAGACAGCGCAAAGATGTTGTGGCATGTCTATATAATCCCAGCTGAGAGACTGAAGCAGGAGGATGGGGACATAGCCAGAGACCTTGCCATTTTTTTGAAAGGAAGTAAGAAGGAGGGAAGGAGGGAGGTGGTGAGGTAAGGCTTTTCTTTTCCCTCCCTCTCTAAATGATAGATACACTGTGGATTCCTCTCACCTGCCCTTGGAAGTGGTCCATTGGGAATCCTGTGTTCCTCCACCCCAGAGGTGTAGTTGGATCATTTCTTAGTTCAAGAGGCTGCGCTTGCTGAAGTAGCTCATATTAAATACCTTCCCTGGAGTCTTGCCTGGATTTGGCTCTCTGCCTCGTGCAGAGAGTTTCTCAATTGTGGCACTATTGATATTCCCAGTGAGGTCATTCTTTACTGTGGGATTGGTCCTGAGCATTGTAGGATGTTTAGCAGCATCCCTGACTTCTACCCACTAGGTTACAGTAGCACCCTCTCTCCCCAGGTGTGACAGTCTAAAATGTTTTTAGACATTGCCCTCTGGGCATTTTAGACAAATGGCCCTGGGGGAGACAAAAGCACTTTCCCATCCTGCCTCTTTGTAGAACCACTGGCTTAGAGGGCTAATGCATGAGTTCCATCCAGTTTCTTAGGGTTTGGAGTAGTGGCTTCTGTGGAAGTAGCCAGGATGCACTTCTTGGTGGCATTCAGTCCCCTCAACATTGGTCAATTTGTGTACACAGCTGTTCCCAAATGGCCCTTGGCCTGACTGCCCCCACCCCCACTTCTTTAGGACTTAACCTCTACAAGGCATTCCTTGCTTATCCCTTAGTGAATTGCTCTTCCTCTGTAACACAGTACACACTTGGTATACATTAATATATATTTTCTTCGGTTTTGTATTCATGATGTGTTTTTGTATCTTCATCACTGGTCTGCCAGTGTCCTAAAGAGGTTCCTTGAAACATTTTATTGGTGTTCAACTCACAATGTGTATTATACAAATGTTTATAATATTGAATGATTGTGAGTGCAGAGGCCTTTCATTGTGAGATGGTTTTGCCATTTTTGGACAGCATGGGAGATCTCCAGAGGTGGGAAATTGGTGCTTAAAAGGCTGACTCCTCATTCTGCATGATGCGCTTAGTCCTGCCATGGTGAGGGCAACAGAACTAAAAGTTCAATTTGTGTTGGTACAAGACTGTCATTTACTAAACTCATGCTGTGTGTCAAATACTTTATTGGTACCCTTTACATTTAAATTCTCATGATGACCCTAGGAGAGGTACCATTAACTTTGTTTTGTACATGAAGAAACAGGCATAGAGTTGCATTAACTTGTCTGTGCTTTGGATCAGAGCCTAGGCTTGTCATAATTTCAAAGCCTGTGCTCCTGTTACTCCAACAGAGAACTATGTGCCAAATCATTTTTAGATCTATGAGTCACAGTGTTTTGTTTTTTTTCCAGGTATGGGAATAGAAGGTCAGCTAAGTAGTAGTGAAATAGTGAAACTAAGTTTAGAACCAGGTCTGTTGGACTTGAACCCAAGCTCTTTTTTTTTTTTTTTAAGAATTATTTATTTAATTTTA